AAATCTATGAGTAGATAGAAGAAGACGAAAAGTCAAATCTCTTCTGCTTATATGCTGATTATGAACCTCTTACCTTTCAAGAAGCCGTAAAAGAAGATTGTTGGCGAACAACAATGGAGGAGGAGATCCATGTCATTCAAAAGAATAACATTTGGGAGTTTACAACACTTCCACAAAATCACAAGGAAATAGGGGTCAAGTGAGTGTACAAGATCAAGCGCACAGCAAATGGTGAAGTTGATCGGTACAAGGAGAGGCTTGTAGCGAAAGGTTACAAACAAAAGTACGACATCGACTATGAAGAAGTCTTTGCTGCGGTTGGTCGACTAGATACGGTGAGACTATTAATTTCACTTACAACTCATCACAGGTGGAATATATAACATTCAGATGTCAAGTCAGCATTCCTCAATGGTGTTCTTGAGGAAGAGGTGTACGTGCAACAACCAGAAGGCTTTCTTGTGAAAGGGAAAGAAGACTAAGTGTACCATTTGAAAAAAGTCTTGTATGGCTTAAAGCAGGCACCACGGGCGTGGAACGCAAGAATTGATGGCTATCTTCATCAAAACGACTTTATTAAATGTCCTTATGAACATGCCATCTGCATGAAGAGGAATCATAAAGGCGAATTTCTAATAATTTGTCTTTATGTTGATGATTTATTATACACAGGAAGCAGTACCGAGATGCTTGCTGAATTCAAGGCGACAATGTTCAATGAATTTGAGATGACGGACAATGGATTGATGTCCTATTTTCTTGGCATTGAAGTGAAGCAACAACAAGAGGGGATTTTTATATCCCAGAAGAAGTACATGAAGGAGATCTTAGAGAAGTTCAAGATGAATGAATGCAACCATGTGACCACCCCAGTAGCCATCAGAATGAAGCTCTCAAGAGAAGGAGACGGACGTTTAGTGAATTCAACTCTTTTCAAAAGTCTAGTTCGCAGCCTGAGATACTTGACGATCACAATGCCCGATATTACTTATGGAATCAGACTTGTGAGTCGCTACATGGAGACACCGAAGGAGTCTCATTGGCTAGCTGCGAAGATGATACTAAGGTATATCAAAGGCACACTCAACCTGGGTCTCTTCTATATATATAATAAAATTGCACAACTAGTTGGTTACTCAGATAGTGACTGGGGAGGTGACCAATATAAGAGGAAAAGTACCACATGCTATGTTTTTTATCTTGGGTCAACTGTATTTTCATGGACCTCAAAGAAGCAAGGAATTGTAGCACTATCTTCATGTGAAGCAGAGTATGTGACGGCTGCATCTACCGTATGTGAAGCAATTTGGTTGCGGAACATATTAAAGGAGTTGGATCATCCACAAGAAGACCCGACCGTAATTTTTGTGGACAACAAATTAGCCATCCAGCTTGCAAAGAACCCAGTACATCATAGAAGGAGCAAACACATAGATACACGGTTTTATTTTCTCAGAGACTATGTAAAGCAGAAAATCGTTGAACTGAAGCATTGTCACACCACTGAACAAGTAGCAGACATATTCACCAAGCCATTATCAGGTGAAACTTTCATAAGGCTAAGAGACATGCTTGGCATAAAGACATTTTGATTTGAAGGGACGTGTTGGAATAACAAATTAAAATGTTAGAATAAATGAGGTTAATAGCATGAGTTTTAAAAGTGCAAGGGTCATAAGTTTAGAAGGTGAAGAGACATAGGTTATGGAAGAATAGGAGTTACTCACTCCTTTATGATATTTTATCTTTATGACATTAAAAGAGGAGTTTAATTTATGACTATTAGTATGCCTATACGTTTTGTTTTTGAATCCTATATAAAGGGCTATTGTAATCCTTATTTCATAAAGAAAAAAATTAAGAAATAAAAAGTAAGTTCTTTGTCTTCATTTGGGAGAGTTCTCAGTTCGAAAACTTAAGGTTCAACAAAAAGCTGGAGCCATGTAAGGAGAAGAAATCGATTCAACATTGAGAGACATATTCTTAGTTGTAGAATTAAAGTTATCATACATGTTTCTGATTCTATCATGCTGCAGATTCTTCCAGGATCGATGGAGACATTAGGAGTGAGAGTCTTAGAAGATCATGGAATTTGTCCTGAAGCAAAGTGGTATTGGATCGGTGTGGGTGCATTGCTTGGATATATTTTTCTCAACTCTCTTTTCACTGTGCCTCTCACATATCTCAGTCGTAAGTGGCGAACCAACTAATTTCATACGTGAAAAAATTTTATTTTGGAGGAACAAATAAAAATAATACTAAGGACTAATTTGCATGCAGCCTACGGCAAAGCTCAGCAAGCTATGTCAGAAGAGACATTGAAGGAAAAGAATGCCAATACAACAGGTGAAATATCAGAGCCATCATCGAGAGAAAACAATCCCAATGTTCACTCTTCACTGAGAAGTAAGTCTGCCCCAATTTTATATATATATATGGGAAAAGTGAATCTAAGGTGACATCCTAGGCTCCCACCTAACGACCCGGCCTAAAATCATTGTAATACCGAAAAGATATCATGTCAGGTTTCATCGCCTTCTAATCAGATTAAGAAGGGAATGGTCCTTCCATTTGCACCACTTTCCGTCACGTTCGAAGATATCAGATACTCAGTGGACATGCCACAAGTAAGTTATTAACAAACACAGCTGCGAAGGTAAAATGTCATTTTCTTGCTGTAATGATAAATTAAACTTTATCGAATGAATTTAGGAAATGAAAGCACAAAATGGAGACCAAGCAAGACTCGAGCTTCTGAAATTCGTTAGCGGGTCATTTAGACCAGGAGTACTCACAGCTCTAATGGGGGTTAGCGGAGCAGGTAAGACTACACTGCTGGATGTGTTGGCCGGGAGAAAAACAGGTGGATATATAGAGGGAAACATTTGCATAAATGGATATCCGAAGAAACAAGAAACATTTGCAAGAGTATCAGGATATTGTGAACAAAATGATATCCACTCTCCTCATGTGACAGTGTATGAGTCCCTTGTGTACTCTTCATGGCTTCGGTTGCCTCCTGAAGTTAATTCAGAAACAAGAAAGGTTAGTTATGTCAGAAAACTATATTTTTGAACAGGTGTTCCTTACAGAACTAATTGGGGTTTAAGTGAAAAACATCCAAAGTTATTTTCATTGTGGGCGTTTGCTGAAATTTACCCTAAAAATAAACTTGTTTTTCAATTATTGACTTGCGTTAAATGTTATGTTTTCCTTCTCTACAACTATTCCTTGGTATAGTTTACAAAATGTTATACTTTACTTCTCTGGAGTATTGCCTTCTTACGTTTCTTTAATTCTATATCTTTTCCTTGACACTGATGAATGTAACTCATGAATGCAGATGTTTATCGAAGAGGTCATGGAGCTCGTAGAGCTGAAACCACTTAGAGAAGCCCTTGTTGGATTGCCTGGAGTTAACGGGTTATCTACTGAGCAACGCAAGAGACTTAATATTGCAGTGGAGCTTGTTGCCAACCCTTCGATAATATTCATGGATGAGCCTACATCAGGACTCCATGCACGGGCTGCTGCCATTGTTATGAGAACTATGAGAAACACTGTAGACACTGGAAGAACAGTGGTTTGTACTATACATCAGCCTAGTATTAACATATTTGAAGCTTTTGATGAGGTATGGGAATATTCAAATAAACCCAACGTGCTATCGCCAAATTGAACTTACTACCCTGTAGTTCTATAGTTGCAGATAGACTCCTGAGTGAAAATTTATTGTTGCAGATAAACTCCCTGAAAAGGGTGAAAAAAAATTCACTCGGGAGGTTTGCAACAATAAAACTAGCGAATGTAAGTTCAAAATAACGAGACTACAGGCAGTCTCTCTGCAATTAACCCTATTCAAATTATACACTTTTCGATGCCTGATTGCAATGATTTATCTAATTCCTTTCCTATTGGCAGCTCTTCCTAATGAACAGAGGAGAGGAGATATGATACGGGTGTATCTTTTCTTCCGAACTTAGCGATCCTCATGGGAGCTTGATGATAGATGATTCTTATGATAGCATGAGAATAGAGGTGTCAAACAGTACAGGGGAACGCAGGTTGGAGCGATGAACGAGGTAGAGAATCGAAGAATCGACCTCGACATATCCAGTTTTCAGCTCGTGAGTCGGGACTTCCAGCGGCATGTATCATGAGTCCGACTCACGAAACCAAGCTAGTTCGCGAATTCGGCTCTGCACAGTCGACTTTATCCATTTCATAAGTCGACTCATGTGCTATGAGTACGACTCATGGTGCAGCGCTTTGATGTTGCATCAAAGAAATCAAGCTCTGTTAGCAAAACGACTCTGACCAGTTCAACTTCATCATGTTGTGGAGTCGAGCTCATTATAAGGTCATGAGTCGACTCGTTATGTATCATGAGTCGAGCTCACCGCGGGTTTTCCAGATTCATAAGGACTTTGTTTACTGTTTTCTATTTCGGTTTTGTCTTGGTTATTTACCACTTTTTCCACCTCGTGTATACCTATATAAGCGGATTGTTCAGCGGCTTTAAAACAATCAGAGAAATACCAATCAAGAGAGCATATAGATCTTAATTGAGATTTGGAGAGCTTGTTCCTGTCAGATTCTAGAGCAGAGATTATATGATTTCTGGTAAATTGCCATACTCATAAAATCTAGAGAAAGGTATTTGTTCCTTATCCCCTTCTCCCCACAAAAAATCCCGTGTGGTGTATAAATTACCTTAAGCTTCAATCTATCTCTTTTACTTAAATTAGCTTCCCGTTCTAACCTTCCATCCCGGCTCATCAAGTTTATATTCCGTACCAAGTTGAAGCATAAGCCCTGACTCCCCTAAAAATAACTATAGAAAGATGCTTGCTCCAGCAGATCCCCATAACCATGCCGACGGTCGGTTACTTTCCAAGTTTTTACAGAGAGACTCACTCCGCGTTATGAATCTCTTTGCAATCTCGCTTGTCTGAATTTCTTAAGGAAGGAGATCATTTGCTTGTGTCTGTATTGGTTCCGCTTTATCCCGTATTTAGACCTTAAAATAAGTGACCTAAGAAAGTGATTAACTCGAAGAGTCAGCGAATTTTCCCTATTGTGCATAATGAAGGATAGTAAAACAGGCATCCTCCAGTATCACGATGATAAGAAAGAAAACTTAGGCGGCAGAATAGCTTCCTGTAAAAGAAAGGAATCAACAACAGCTACCAACTCAGTACACCCATGAACTCGATACCATCTTTACCCATCAGCACTCCCCCCACAAAGATATAAAAGGACAAGTGCTTCAATTTCCTCGATTTAAACGTACGTAAACATAATCTCATTTTAGCTCGCACCTCAGCCTCGTCCCGGTATTCTCTTCATTGATTGCTATTCTCCTGACTTTTTCAACGGTTCTCATTCCCACCTAACTTTGTCACAAATACATGCTTAAACGTGATACCAGAACCAGAATAAGGGTATATTGGTAATTTCTTTCTTTCTGATATAAATTTTTTTAAGTTTTTATGAATTAGCTGTCTCGAGTCGTTGACTTTGGGATGACTAAAACGGCGGTGAGGAAATTGAGGATTTTTGGTTAAGAAGAGGACCCCGAAGTTCTGTTAAGGTCTGCTCCACATTTCGAGAAGGGAGGAGGTGGTGAATATTTTACCAAAAATTGAGGAGTATATATTCAAATGTATAGTGTTCAAATGTAACATGTTGGCTATGATTAAGAGTTGTTCAAGTGAGAAGGCTCGATTTTGATTTTTGGATTCGGAGCAGTATGGATTATGCTACTACCACTTGGCCGTTCTTTATGGTAACAATTCTCCATCATGAGAAAGAATTTGTGTTCCGCCCGAATTGACACACCATACTTTAAGAGTGACTTCTCAAATTGAATTTGTTGAGCAGATGTCTTCCTGAGCTAGCGATTTTTGGAAGGCTTTCTTTCGCGGGGCCAACGCGGCTAGAGGGGTTTTTCGTTTACACCCAAGGTTGAAATTTTCCTTATTTGCCAAATTAAGGTCATCCGGAGCTAAGAATTGCCTCCCATTTTGGCGATACTTTTCTAGGTGCACCGCTCGTGCAAGTTCAGGAAAATTAGTTTTAAGTTAATCTGCTCGAGCTTGTGAAATATTAGGCTAGATTTTATTTTTATTCACCGGGAGAGTCTAGGGGTTTTTTCTTTGGGATATTGCAACGTTTTTATCCAAGAACTTACAAGTAATCGTTTATGCCTTTTCTCGCCGGGCTTTAAAAAGGGTTAACACTGAGAATTTGCTTTCTAAGAGTATACAAACGAGTTATGTTCCTTTTGACTTTGTTGCCCATAATTTTATCTGTGGAATCTAGGTTTTAGCAGCCAGCCCGGATGGTTTCTTAAAACATCCACCAACGGGGGATGGAATTACTCCCATCTTCTACTCAAAAGGTACATGAAGAGCTCGGTGTTCATATCAAGATGTCCACGACAGAGTATCGCAATTATTTTGCTTTTGCAATCTTAAAAAATAAAAGTATTTAAAGAAAAGCGATAGGTGCGGACTTCGTGCGTTAGATGTATATTTATTCTCTCAAACATGCATAGAAAAAAGAAGAGATAGCAAAGATAGTAAACATGAAAACAAAGAAAAGGGGGCTGTTTTGCGTTCCGATTCATATATAAAAAAGGCAAGAAAGAAAAAATTATCTATAAAAGAGTTCGACTTTCCATATAAAATTTTCTAGGGAAACAGTTTGTATTCAAAATTCAAAAAGTGCACGTCTTGAATGAATACAGTTCCAGTATAATGGAGATAAAGCCTTATTTACTCACTATTCATAGATATAATGCAAAGGCTCGAGCCTTTGTGTGTGTGTGTGTGAGAAGGCAATTGCCATTTGAGTGCGAAGATATAACAATGAAAAAGGAAGAGGCGCAACTGAGACAAAGCCGCGAAATTGCATTTCCAAAAAGTAGGTTAGGATTATATAGCTAGGGTCGGCACTAAACTCAACATCAAGGAAGAGAAGAAGAAGTGGATGATTCAGAGAAGACAGGACTTGACATACAAGATCACTGCAAGTAGACAGGCCATATTGTTCGATCAGTTGCTGTTGTGAGAATACCTCATTCTGAAGCCAAAAGGTTAATGTAAAAAGAAGGAGGAGTAAGAAAGCGATACAGTGATAGTACAGGCGCGATAAGTTTGCTCCGATAACAAGAAACTTGATATGAGTTCTTGGGTTATGACCAGAGACTCATATAAATCAATAAGCATACATCAGATTTAGTCTCAACCCTTATAGGAGAAAGCAGGTGCCGCCCCCGAAAGAAGACCATACCGCACCCGATACCAATTTCCTGGGTAGCAGCCCTTTTTCATTTGATATGTTACCCAGCGTCGAGACCAGCTTAGGAGCAAGTTGTTTAGGATACCCTCCATTCGTGCTATAGATACCCCTAGGTGAGGCCAGAAGATACTCTGACCTATTCCTGCAGCCCTATTTCTTACGCACGTATGCGGGTATTAACTACTCCCGGCTCATACGTCTATCACAACCCTTATCCATTAGGGTGTATTCAGAAAGGAGAGCCAGATTGAGTGTGACGAACCGTGTTAACCTTCAGGTTTGCACTCCACGAGTCTATTATTGAAAAAAGTCACATTGCCGACGTTATTCCGCTTAGTATTTGTTTGCCACAGCTGATTTTGGGCAATTTTTTTGTGCGATAGATACATGGCTTTGATGATTGACGGCCCAAAAGTATTACATTCATCAAGGATGCGCAAAGCAGTTCATCTTTCTCTCGGCCATCTCTTCCACTTAAGGGACCGACCTGAGAGTCTATTTTGTAGGGGTTTGTTTGGTTTGATCTCGGGTGACTCAGCCTTTGAGGGTTGGAATAAATGCAAGCAGGAAGGTTTGTTTTGTTAGTTCATTGGGCCTTATGAGGAGCACTGAGTAGTAGATATGAGTTGACCACTTGAGCAAGCTTCAGGAGGGCAGAATCAGTGACAAGTTGAAGGAGAAGGTATGTGTGTGACCTTGTTTCCGGTAGGTCACAGGACTACTACCCACGATGGCGGCTGTAGAGTATGAGATTACTGTTGACCGACGAGAGTTCCCTGCGAATATGGCCTATATCCGAAACATCTATAGAGGAGTCTAGAGGGAGATTAAGAGGCAGGTTCCCGAGCTTTTGCGAGACAGACGTGATTGATGCATGCCGGCGCCGAGTGTTGTTCTCCTTGCTCGTAGGTCAGACAGTCACCAGTTTGTGCTTGGTGCCCCAAAATAAGGTTTAAATGTTGGGTGTGGCTGCGCCATGTGTATGGATTACTGAAAGTAAAACTGCTGACGCAGAGCTGTCTTAAACAAGGATAACCATCAAGAATCGATACACGATTACCTGCGGATTGATGATCTTATGATTAGTTGGAAGGACGAGGGTTTTCCCACTAAGCTGGAATTTGAAAATTTCTGGTTGACGCATTCAAGGTGAGGATTCGGGTTGTGAGGACCGGTAAAGAGGATGCACATTTTTGAAAAGGCTTTGTCCGTTTCCAAGAACCAAATAGCATATAATCAAAAACGGGACCTGTTGGGGGTTAAGAGTTCTAGGGTTTTGAATTGGCTTTTCTTAACACTTGCCAAAGTCAACATGCTCATGAGTTTGACCCTGCTGCTCGTGGAAAAATTTTATGCCTAAAAATTTGCCTCTTTTCTGTTTCCGTGGCATAAAGCGTTGTTTTTGCAATCTAACTGAAAATTACTTTGTTTAACAATAATCTATACAACAAGAGGTGCTTGGCTTTGCCTTTATGAAGAACTTCATATAATAAGAATTACAAATTAGAATGACGATAATGTATCCTTTCTATAAGAATCGATTTAGTGATATGTGTTACCTCGATTGATATCTTGTGTGTTTACAACAGGAGCTAGGAGTTGAAGACAGTTCCACTTTTTCATGTTAAGAATGTGTTTGAAGTGCCTACAGATAAACATAGCGAATATATCTGTGGAAGCTCTGACCATTGTGGAAGAAGAAGTGCTAAATTATAAGAGACGACGCTTTGTTAGCTATCTCGAGTTACAGTGCACTCGGGAACTCAAAGGCCAGCGGGAAGATCGATCCAAGCAAGCGGGGTGGGCAAGTGATCACGAAGTGGCGGACACCTAGGACTGTGACGGAGTTGCCAGAAGCTTCATGGGGGCTTGCCAATATTACGCAAGTTCATTCAACATTTTTACACTTATCGCACCTTTGCATAGCCTTACGAATGCAAAGGTTCAGAGTTTGAGTGGAGAAGACGCTCGATGAGGAGGCTTTTCATGCTGAAGAGGACAGATCTCGGAGACAGCAAGTCGGTTAACGTTTCCGAATCTACAGCGAACCTTTAAGGGAGAGACCGACGCATCTAGTTATGCTATCGGGGCGCGGGTGTTGATTACAGGATGGAAAACCGGTCATGGAATACCATTCTGAATATTTACAGGTGCTATTCAGAATACCCAACCTGACGACAAGCGAGTTCTGATGCATGTAATCAGGCGGTTAGAGCATTGAAGGGGTGTACTTATTGGGTATACTGTGCATTCAGACCACAAAAACCGATTGGAAGTTCTTAATATGCCCAGGACGAAGCCTACAGTAGGCTGCGGCACATTGAAGTCGGATGTCTTCTCTGGATAGCTCTTCAAATATTGATTAGCGTACGAAAGGTGGACGAACAAGTTGACCGATATTGCTATTGCTCGTCCGCCCGGTAAGGTTTTATTGGTGGCGATGCGTATTTCAGCCCTTGGCTCTTTTGGAGTGATTGTACAGATGGTTACACATCTAGCCGAGATTTCAGTAGTCGTGCTGAGCAGTGGACGACATGTTGGTCGAAAGGGGGGAGTATGAGCTTTAGAGCAGGGATGATTTTGGTGTATCGTGGGACATCATTATGCATCTTTCCCGGAGAATGGTGATAGGGTGGCTGCAGTGGATGCGAGAAGCACGATACCTCACGGGTCCAAGGTATATTTTTAGCGATTTCAGAAGCACCGCCTGTGCTTAACTACAATGCGACATAGTGTTTTGACAAAGATGCTACCCGGATAATGTTACCTAAAAATTGTATGTGCGAGGCGAATAAGCTATGTTTGCCAATTTTGAAAACCTGTCTAATACTTGCAAGTGGTATTTGTTAATAACTAACCATTATCTAGCAGTACGTTCTCAAGACCTGGTCGGGCGAGAGGTTTCTATGGATTTCGGTTAGGAGGTTACCAACGACCAAGTGAGGACATGCAACCTATTTATTTTGTGTGTAGTGGGACATCAGTTCTTGGCGAAGATGGTGATGCTTGCATTCCATGCAAGAAGACCGTGATGGAGTGTTAGAGAATGCAGCGACCAGTTGGTTTTAAATTCTAATAGAGTCATGAAAACTCTGTGGAAGCACTATTGGTTTTTAAAGAATATACGCGTGATTACTTTGTGAGTTTAGATTATTACGAGTATGAATCAATGATAAGCCATTTTTTTGTTGGTGAAGCACCATTTTGGTTCATGGCGAAATGTCTTAGTGGTGAGATTCTGATGCACTGGGACGCCAGACCGAAGAAGAGCACGGACTTCATCCAAAACCAGGCCCGGGGCAACATGAGAGGTAAAGTTTTAAACTGGACTATGGTTGTATTATATTACACGGGGGTATAATTCCAGCGGTATTCCTCCTAATGCACTTAGGATGTCAGGAGATTACCATATATTCATACAGTTTGTTTTTAATCAGCCGATTCTGTGATCTTTGAAAAATCACCGTTGAGCACTTGTTATGGATTCTTACCGCTGAGAGTCCGTGATTGACCATATTTGTGCTTTTGCTAGATCGAGGCGAGAATCAACCGAACGGAACTTTCTCATGGTAAGGAGTATGGAATGAAAGTCAAGTCAACTCAATGATTTACTGAGAAGAGTTGCTGCATATTTCGCTATGCCTCGGTTGAGAGTCTCAAATTAAAGGAAAGTGTAGACAAAGCAAGGTTTAGCAGGCGAAGCAAGTGCATATATGAAATGATCGTGGCCATCCCAGAAAAGTTCCTTATAATTTTTTGGCATAGGCGATAATTGGTCGTTCGGCTGAAGTTGGAGTAAGGAGAGCGCTAAAGATGGAGAATGAAAGAAGTGTAAAAATCGATACAGTTAACCGAAGTTGTTAAGTCTGCTCCACAACAAGGGGGTAAGAATTATTACCAAAAATTAAAAATTAATTTTAAAGTGGAGATTCATGTTTATGATAAGAGTGTCAACGTGGAGAAGCTCGATGATTGGATCGAGCATATGGATATGTACTACACTCTCTATGGATATTCATCCAATGAGAAGATTGTGTTCGCGACGTTGAAGCTTTCGGGGCACGCGTTGACATGGTGAAATCCTATTGCAAATAGGAGAAGAATGCGGTGTCGTGGAATAAGTTTAAGGAGCTACTGAGAAAGTAATTTTATCCCGTAGGGTTCCTTGAAGAACGTTGGTACAAGTGATATGGCTTGCGCTAAAAGTACAATTAGATTGTTCAAGAGTATACAACGGAGTTCCAGCAGCAGCCGATGGTTCTAAACATCACAACGGATGAATACTCCATCTTCATAAAGTACATGGAGGGTCTGAATGAATACATCCAAAAGGAGATAAAGCTGTTCACGATCAAGATAAATGCAGAGGCGAGCGTGAAGGCAATTGCCATTGAGGGTAAACAGAAGAAGGGCAACGAGACAAAGGGTGATTCCAAATAGTAGGGAGGCAAGGCTAGTGGCTCTCAACATAAGGAAGAGAAGAAGAAGGATGATTCAGAGAAGACAGGATTGACATACAATCACTGCAAGTAGACAGGCCA